CAGAGCAACATACCAAGAAAAGAAAAATAATGAAATAATATCTGATATAATGTGTAGGTGTTCAAAGAGATATACATTGAAAGTATATATGAGTTGATCGATGGTGGATGCTAGTGATTTGTTTTGCGATCATATGATAAACAGGAAGAATGTTAGTTGTTGAAAGTGATTACGTCACCATTCGAGTAAAGGGGGAAGTAAAGAGGGATTTGTTTTGGATAAATTTACTCGTACGTTTTTGACCTTTTTCTTTGATATCTTGTGTTTTTTTTTTGAAAATTAGTAAAGGCTCTATGAGTGCAAACCTGTTTAAAGAAAGTCTTTCGTTCCTACTGGGATCATCGAAGTTTAATGGAACAGTATGAATACATCTCTACATGGATTTGTGTCGAAAACAATGTGAAACGAAAGATATGTGTCTTTTAGTCTTTTTGAAATCAATATGAATTTATACTTTGACGTTAGAATATATTACAAGAATTAGAAAAAATTTGAAATGCTGAAGAATTGATTGTATTATGATTTTTAGATTTTGTTGTAATATTAGAAGTTATACAGCTATGAATTTGATTGAACACCACTACTTGGACATGAGACATCATTGTTCAATAATCTATTCTTTATCAAATATGTTAGGATTGATTTCTAGAATTAATATTAAGTTCATCTACATATGAATATAATTCGTCTATGATAATACAAGTCATGTGTTCGATGTTCAATATATTTTGTACAATTTCAATGGAAACTAATCCTTGCATTATAATTAAGTTAGTTGCAAAACCTTTCTTAATATTCTTAGGATAGGTATATAATTTGTGTGAAGACAAACTCAATCTAAAAATGGATCATTGTACATGATCTAAGTTTTTCCAAGTATGATGAAACTAAACTAGAATATGATCTATGATAAACATTGAAGATTAGTAATATTTTTGCATATCTCTATTTTATTTGAGATATGTATTCGATAGATAAAAGAAATATTAGGAAAATGACTGATGAAAATAAATTTAGAAAAATTTATATTGAAAGACATTTTTTATTCATTTCATATCTTTTCACTATACTTTAACTTGTGTTCGTTGATCAACATTAATGAGTTTATCATATTCAATCTATCATAAGACATATTTCGTAGTAATTTGATCATTAAAAACTCTAGAGATTTGAGCAAAATAAATTGTAAGAAATATATGTCAAAAGTCAAAATATTTTTCCACATCGAAATAGTTGTTTCTGTTGATGTACATTTAAGCATTTGTTAGAACATCATAAATCATACGATTATAGCTATTACAGTTATTCTTCTTCAATATTGACTACGAAAAAAAACAGCAGTGTTCAGACTTCCGAAAAAGGAAATTTCGGAAGTTTCGGAAATTTCAAGCACTTGTGTTCTAAATGGTTTGGTACTTCCCAAAATTATGTAATTTCCGAAATTTCTGAAATTTTCGAGATTCTGTACCTAGCGAAATTTCCGAAATTACAGAAATTTCTAAAATTTCTAGTATTTCCAAAAACTTTTCATTTGTTTTGCTATGTAGTTACCGAGTTGATGGAAGCTTCAGAAATTGCTGTAATTTCCTTTTTCGGAAATCTGAACATACCTCAAAAAAAAAATAAAAAGATCATGCATTGATTACAATATAAATATCATCGTTTTTTAGGATGATATTCGAAGTCAATTCTTCAAATATACCCTCTTGTTAGTTTTTTTCAATTGGTCAGAGTCTTACCTAGTAATATACAATATGATATTTCTAACTAGACACTAACATTACATTACAAATTATTTTTTTTTTTTGATTGAAGCTCAAACACCACGAGGAAATAATTGAAATAATCATTTTAATTGAAAATCGAGCATTTATTATTTAAAACATATAAATGTAAGTGGAGAAAAATATCATTTTTTATTTAAAATTAATGATTCACGACGTTTCGAACTACTATGAGTTCATTATCAAGTATCACTACCAGGTACTCTAAGTGAGCACCACCTAGTCCAAGTAATTGAGTTGAAGCGGAAAGAGAGCTAGGTAAAAGAATAAAGTTAATGAAATAGAGTTTTTTGGTATGATGAAGTACCTTTTACTTAGTATGATTTGGGTTTGGTATGAGATTGCGTTGCAAACCTTCGGGAAAGAGTAGCATGGGTACCGAGTGTGTAGTGAGATTTAGGGGTGGTTGGTATGCTTTGATCACTAAGGATTCTTTTAGAAGTAATTTATATTTATGACTCTCTTGCCATAATACTTTAAAGTCTTGCCAATTTATAGTATGACCTGTTTGTTGTTGATGGCGGGATATTGATGTTTCGGCTGTTTTCGTTGTGGTTTCTTTTTTTTTGTTTATGTCATCGGTATCGATGTGCGGTTGAACGAGACTTGTTTTGGATTCGGTGCATGTATTGGTCTTCTGTCGAATTCGCTCAGAGCATCTCAAAGTTTGTGGATCGGGATATGGTATGGCTCTTTTTCTTGATGTTTTTTTGAGTGTTCGTCGGGTTGGTAGAAGGGTTTCATCAGCTTCTGGTTCATGATAATCATCTTCTGGATGAGTACTATTGCTTGTATTATCAGTGGAAAGTAGTTGTTCTTTGAATAGTGTTTTTTGGTGCTCCATGTTCCCACAGTCGTCTTATTGCTTGCCTCTCTGTTTCACCGACATATAGATCACCACAATCACTGCACTTCACCGAATAAACGATGTCAGATCGCAAGTGTTTCGGTACCGGGTCCTTTGTGTTAAAAAACATTTGAACTGATGAAGGTGGTTTAGCAAAAAAGCGAACATCAACATCAGGACGTATTTTTCCAGCGATGTGAGATAATTTCTTTTTAAATGAATCGGTAGGTGCACCAGTATACGGTATCTCGATGTACATCTTTTGTTTTTCGCATCCGACAATCGTAGTACCGGGTATTGTGGATTTCTTCAAGTATTTGCTTAATCCGATGCCTATTCGAGTATCGATGAACGATAATGGATAACCATTATGCTGACCAATTTGACGAATATTTTCGAATTCAGTAGCTAATGACGAGTACGTTGAACATAATGCTAGAGCCCTTTGTATCATAGTAACAACACTAGCCTTTTTGTAATTTCCAGGTACATATGAATCTCACTTTATCATAAGACCGGTAAATGTTTCTTTTCGATAGACTGCTGTTTGAAATTTCTTAGCTTCAGTTGACCGGGTAACCCATACATCGAGAAAAGGAAGAGAGCCATTTGTTTCAAGTTGATGAGTGAAGCTGATAGATGGATGAAAATTATTTAGAATTTCGAGTACATTTTCGACTTTTGTTGTAGGTTCAATAAGTACGAATGTGTCGTCGACATATCGATACCATTGACAAACACCACTTTGTTTCAACCGATCCATCAAAGTCTCCTCTAGATGTGACATAAAAATATCGGCAATTATTGGCGCCAGAGGAGCACCCATTGCAACACCGTTATGTTGAACGTACATTTTTTGATCGAAAATGAAGTGAGTTTTTGATGTAGCTATTCGAAGAAGATGTTCAAAATTCGATCTATTCCTGCATTTCACACAAAGACGACTTCTTTGTTTATATTCACATGGTAAAGAACACGTAGGATACATTTTGTCAAGTATCATATCGATAGTATAGGTAAGTGGTACTTTAGTAAACAGGCTCGTAACATCAAAAGACACCATTGTTTTATCACCAAGTTCTGATTTTCTGATTTTTTGAACAAAATCAAATCTATCTTTGATCATGTACGGGCTAGTGCGTAGTGTATTCAGTCGATTAGCCAACATTTTACCGAGTCCATAAGCTACTGTTTTTGTAGCTGACATTACAGGTCGAAGAGGATAGTTTTCTTGTTTTTTATGCAATTTAGGTACACCGTATATTCGAGCTGGTCTTGATCCAATTGGACTTGCCAACTTGAATTCTTTATCACTTATAAAACCTTCTTTTTTTAAGACAAGCAGAAATTTAATTAGTTCATTTTCATTATCTAACGTTGGATCGTGATTGATTAAAGTAAAAGCAGATCTATCATCGAGTATTGCATTCATTTTTTGTACATAATCTGCGCGATCCATGATGACCATGCCACGGCCCTTGTCAGGTCGAGTGATAATGATCGATTTATTTTTGGCAAGAGAACGAAGAGTATTAAATGTTTTACGATGTTCGGCACCGATTTTCTTCAGTTCAGATTGAGCAACTTTGCGAAAAGAATTTGCAGTCTCACGTAATTCAGATGCGACACTAAGCTGTAATGATGTTAATTGATGTCGAACAACTTCAGTTGCTGATTTTTGTTCGTAGTGTCGGTACGCAGTTCGTACATTTAAAAGACGTGCATAAAAGTATTCCATATTGCACACGAACTGTGGTTGATCGAGTTTTTCAGGTGGATACACATGATCTAATCCATTAATAAGAGCAGTATGTTCACTATCGGTTAAGCTGTACTTTGAAAGATTTGTCACCGGATCACCCATCTCCTGTGGAAGATTTGTCACTGGATCGAGAATCTGACGTGGACGATTTGTTACTGGGTCAAGAATCAGTCGCCGTGGAGCACGTCTTTTTTTTTTTCACGTAAATCATTGAGTTTTGTCTCGTGTCTCATTTGAATCTCGTTCATCTTTCTTTTGAGAATTTCTTGTGAAATAGATTGTAAACGAATATAAACAATATGAGAGACACTTTGTTTTAATTCTGCGTCCAGTCGTCTCAAATATTTTGCGGTTCGAGTCAAAAGACGTTGCTTGAATTTCATTTCAGCTTGCAAAATATGACGAGCACACTTTTGCCTTAATTTAACATCGGCTATACGTGGATTTGCCAAACGAAAACGAGCGAAAGTAGGTATTAAATCTTTATTCTTGCATGTAAGAATAAAAGCAATAGCATTTTTTAACTTGCATATTCGAAGTTGTTCTTTTACAAACTGACCAAAAAGTCTACTAGTAGATAGACCATAGTGGCGCCAAATATAATTGTAGACATTCACAGTTGATAATGGTAAAAATTTAAACAAGTACTTACAGAGTAACACAGCCTTGTAAAACATATTCTTTTTTTTAATATTATTCACTATAAACTTAAAACATAACAATGTGCCATATGGAAATAAACAACACGGTTAAGAGAGAGAGAAAAAGTAACAGAACGAAAAGAGAACAGAACAGACACCTTACGATACAACAATATCTCCCACATGGAACAAGGAGAGAAAGACAAAGCTTCATCCCACATGGCACGATGAATGAGAAGCGAGCATCAACAAAGGCAAGAAAAAAAAAACTCCATAAGAATACCAACGAAAAAATGATCAATGTATCCATCAAGAAATACAAAACACATAAGCCAAACATAAACCATACACTATGATAATCTACTTCTACTGCATCGTTTACAAATAACGAGGAAACAATTGAACCAAACTTCAAACAAACCAACTGTAACACATTACTCAATAGAACACGATATTACAACTCTGCAACAAAACCAAACTACCCTCCACCAAACATTTCCTATTATTCATCTAGCTCAAAGAAACCTCCATTACGAATACATCTCCCATTTTCACCACAAATATCCTACACACAACCCACACTCATATGAATACCACCAAACACTTTGTTTCTTTCCTCATCGGAATTCATAGCATCAGGTTTCCCCATCCACTCTTCTCACAAAAAACTGCCACAAAAAAATGAAAAAAATATCATTTCCTTCCTTTCTTCAAAACATTATAACAATTGGTTCAGAAAACGTGCAACTACTATCACCTTCAATTAAATTACTTGCAATTCGTGGTACTCACATTTAGTACCTGGTAGTGATACTTGATAATGAACTCATAGTAGTTCGAAACGTCGTGAATCATTAATTTTAAATAAAAAATGATATTTTTCTCCACTTACATTTATATGTTTTAAATAATAAATGCTCGATTTTCAATTAAAATGATTTTTTTTTTGATAAGATGAATTCATTTTGGTGAAATTTAACATTTCTGAGACATATATATATGCACGTATTATTTATTTTTATAACAAATGAGATTCACCAACAGGAATTTTGAACTTTCAAAATAGAAAAAACAAAGAATATTATGTGTAATAAACATTTAGTCAATATGAATCCTGTGTATCTATTGTTGTTTTTCAACTCAAAATTATTATACTACAAGAAACTAATCTGTTGAACATAGCACAGATAAAAAGGGAAGATAGTAAAAGACAATAACAAGCAATACAAAAAAAAGGACAAATACTATCAGTATTAATTATAAAATTTATTTGAAGAGAACGAAAATATTGATCTCTTTTTATTCTATTACATATGACTGTTCTCTTGTATTGCAGTCATATGTTCATCTAAAAAAAATTTTTACTAAAATTGACATGTCTGTTAGCTTGTGATATATTATGAAACACGTGTTTTTGAGTTAAAATATGAATCAGAATATTCATTTGAACTTTGGCGTAAAATGGTTCATTTCATTTTTCCTCATCTAAAATGAAACACATTATGAATGATGTGCTCGAACATATTCGAAAGTTCTCATTACATGACTTTCCAAGATAATCAGGAGGTATCACGTCTAAAAGATAATCTCATAGTGACACAATGAACGAATATTGATTGTGAACAAAAATACTATCAGACAAAAATTTTCTATATAGCTAACAAGAAAATCAAATAGATCGAGTAACAAAAAACAGATTGATTTATGTTAAGTCTATCGTTATTATACCTTGAACATCTTGTTCTTTCTCAGAAAGTTGAAGAATATAAATGTAGACATGTTCAAAAAGTGAACATCTTATTTCAGGATGTGTTCGAACACATTATGACTTTTAGTCTAAAATCAAAATGTAGGATCTCTTCTCATTGGTATGAAGACTGGGTGCTGGCTCCAAAAAGTCAGGTTCCTTCAAACTGATTTTTGCCACCTGAATGGGCTTATCTGAGTTCCTTTGATCGCATGCCTTGAAATCATCTTGATATTGTCATGTCCTCAGATTTAATTCTCTTTCGTTTGCTTCTAGTTATGGAAGTCATAATAGTTTTCAAGAAAATAATAATATCGAATTTCTTACATTTAAAACAAAACCTCATACGAGTAAAAATTCAAAATTATAGATGTGTGAGTCAAAAAACAATCATTTTTCGGTAGAATCTTGTCTTCCAAGTTAATCAATCGAATCAATAAAAGCAAGAATTGTTTTATCAATTTACAGTTGGCCAAGACTAATATTTGATTTATTTAGTTTTTGATTCTAACTTATTACAGTTGCAGATCTGAATATCGATTTTATTTTCATATTCTACATTCTTTGAGTCTTTTTTTTCTAATTTTAGACAACATTAGATCTTCTTAACTATCTAATCATTAGAGAATTGTAAAAATTCAAAAGAAAATATTAATGATAATATTAAAGTAAAGCATCGTCAAATAAATGTGACTAACTAGCTTTTGGTAATTATCTACAAGTATATTTAATGATACATATGTGGAGTAAAAATCGACAATAACAATCAAAGAGTGACTTACAAATATTTCTTTTCTTTTTTTCTATGTTACTATTTATATATTCAACAATTTTATTTATGTTTCATTCCATTTTAATATATTTAAACTTATACATATCGATTCAGGCTAACACTTATAATATATCTTGAACACTATTAAATTATTCTTATCATTGTCCAGGTCAATCATTGTGGGTGTGGGTGTGGGTGTGGATGTGGGTGTGGGTGTGGGTGTGGGTGTGTGGGTGTGGGTGTGGGTGTGGGTGTGGATGTGGGTGTGGGTGTGG